CCGTATCTTCTATGCATAATCTTTTCTATTACCATTGATACTGTTACTACCTACGTTATTCCGGGATTTGGCCTGATAATTTCATCTCGCTGTGCTGATGGGATATAGGAACTTGAACCAATGTATATACTTTCTAGGTTCTACGTTGCGACTGATTGACTTATGTGACTAAAACTAAATAACTGGAATTGAGGTATGAACAACACAGACTGTATTGATACACAATATAGTAGAATATCAGAGAGACAACTGAATTAATAAAGATTTAAACTGACAAATAATAAATGATCTGGAACATATCATATGAATAAGAACTGCATTTATTTGAGTCAATTACAAACTGATTGACACAGAAGGGTGAAGGTAAGAGAATGAAATACAGTTAATTACCGTCCACAGACAATAAGATTAGCTACTTATGCGTCAACTTAAGCCGATATTCATTTATATCAGGTTCTTACATTGTTTATGACTGGATGGTTAATGATTAGGTTCACATACTTTTATCTAGATGTTATTTAAACAACCTGACAAGTATTTAATACACAATTGTCTGACTAAAAAAATTAATTCTACTGATGCGAATTAAATCGGTCAACTTTGCAGCAAATGCTGTGTTAAATGATTGGAGGAAAATTAAGAGTATATAACTATGTAACACATATCAGGAAGTCTCAGCTTTCTGAGAAGGCTTGCACCAAACAAGTGACTTCATAAGCGGAAACCATATGTTGCTTTAAGGGCTCCCGGGATCCTTTCAAACAATCCTATGCTGGGGAAGACGAACCCACTGAAATAAGTAATGGCACGAGTAAAACACACCGGGGCGATAAAACTGATGACAATAAGTAACCAACCAGTAGGGTTATTTGATGAGAACTAAGACCTATAAGTGTTATTACACACTTCTCTACCGTAAAAAAATATTAGACATAGTGGCACTAACTAATAATAATCAGTGGAATTTTGACGAGAATCATAAAATAACCACTCAGCATTAAAATTATACTGAAATTTAGTAAAACGATTATAGGCAGATATCACTTTGAACTTACAATAATGAACTCGCTCTGATCTAGACTACCATCATTATCAATATCTGAAAGGTCCCATATTTTTCCAAGAGTTTCAACTGGTAACTGAAACTTTAAAAATACCTGGGAAAAAACGAACGGTCAAATCAGGAACTATATATGGCATATTGATGACAAAAAGTTTAGTCACGGGTCTCAATAAGTTTATTCTTTTGTGTATTCGACGGTGTATAAATGAAACAGCATAAAAACATATCAACTGGTCTCAGTTAATCACTATCGTTATTTCATTGATTGTAGCCAGTTGTAGTTCAGAAACATCTGTTTAATTTAGAATAGCCAAATAATTAAGTAACTTTAGTTTAGAATGGATTTTTAATATCATAAAACTTTAAACGTTAAAAGTTTATGGCACTAGGATAAGAAATATGCACACTATCCACACACACTCTACTTTTACGAAAGTTTAGTATTCCTTTTTAGGTAATGAACCTATGGAGACTGAATTAACTAGTTTAACTATACTACCTAATCGTTGATGGACTAATGCCCATTTGAAAGGAAATTACTGAAACTAAAGAAGTTCGATGTCTTGTGGAAGTATTAGATACAATAACAGCGATTCTTGCAACTGCGAAAGAAGTTTTAAATCTTTGAGTACAGACCGACTTGAGCAAACCATTGTATTTTCAAGATGATGCGTAAATGTTTTAAGTGGATATCACTGATAATTGATACTTGATTATAAATGAAATGTGGAACAAACTAGCAGTTCCACAAGAAGTACTAATTCATGTACCAGACTATGATTTAAATCCGTTACGCAACAGCTGGGGATGATAGCTAGTGACTGAAACTAAATTATATGAATGGTGTTCAAACTCCTGTCTTCGACATCGTGAGTGAGTCCACAGGTGCCGGAGTATTTGCCACTTTAATTTAAAAATGAATTCACGCAGATAAATGCAAAGAAATAGAGTCAGTATCGTTCAGAGAAAAAAGGATTACGTCCAAAAATAACAGAATAGCTATTCTTAAAGCACTGTAGATGTTCCAACCAATTCAATAGATGGTAGTTTCTCACCGTTTGAATATTTGAATACAATTACATCTTCCTTAGAACTGTAATCAATGTAATAAACAACAATTTCACTAGGCTAAGAAATTTCGCTCGATAGAACTACATTCTTCTAAACTAATGGTAGTCGGCAAACAAAATTCCACAGCCCACACACAAACATAATGAAATGTTGATATTTATGGGAGATACTTTCTTACTTTCTTGCCACTTAACGTGTAAATTTATAAAATTTTTTGGTTAGGATGTGACACAACCATTCGCATTCTTTTTGGGTCTTCTGTAAAACTTAAGTCTTGACTTTTCGATGGTTATGAGTTTGGCTGCGTAAAATGTCTGATATCTCATTTAAGTCTTTGATCCAACATTAGATTATCAGAGCTGTATCCGAAAAATTGTATGATATAGACCCGTTTATTGAGTGCCTAAAGCATAATGCATCCCGTCGTACTACTGCCTTTCTATAGGCTTATAAACTTCAATGAACAACTATTGTTCACCAATGTTTCAATTAAGAGCTTTAGTTTTACTGCGGTGTGACCACCATTTAATAAGCCCTTCATTAAACCACGTCCGTCCCGGACTGTACAGTGACTGTGTAAACTAAGATATTGTCCTATCCACGTTGGCTTTCTTTACATAAAGTGTTTGATGGAACCATTATTCTTCCACTAATTAGTATGTTTAGAAAGAGGATCTGGTTATTCATCTCTTCACATGTAAGACAAACGTGCTTTCGAAGTGTGTTGAGTTCCTTTAAACAACTGGTTTACATCTTCGCATCTCATCCACGTGCCGCTTACATAAACACATCTTTTGAATTTAGTCTTCAACTAGATCTTTTACATATGCCTTAAACATATTAGCCAGGAATGTTCATAAAAGAACTACGCATAAATGCGCCATCAATCTGTCAACCGAACTCCTATTCCGAAGGTGATTTAAAATTATCAGGACATAATAGTAATAATAATAAATCTTTCCACAGGAAATACGAGTGGAAGCTTATTTAATAAAATATAGTCACACAAAATAACAATATTCTTCCCTAGAGATACATTTGTAAATGATGCGTTTCCATCAAGAGAGCCCATTGTCTTAGCTTGCATGCTAATATCCACTTATTAATTAATTTGTATGAGCCTTTCAAAGAATACTTGAAAAATTGATCGCAAATAAGGTTGAATACTTTTCTCAACTATTCTGCCAGGTTACTCACGTATGACTAACAAGTGGATAGAATTGGACGTAAGAAAGTACTGGGCTTATAAAATTTTGGTAGTCCATATAAATGAAGATACATCAAATCCATAGGTTTCGAAATTAAATTTCTCTTTATTAAAACCGTTCTTGTTAAGTAATGTCATTGAATTCGAGTTGACTTTTCTTGACTGACAATTCATACATTTGTATTGTAGGGATAGAGCCCTTTGAAGTCTTCTAACTAGACGACATTTTTATTGGGAAGTGTTCTGCTAATTTCCTATGATTTCTATAAATATAGTTATTTTATTTTAAGTTTGGAAGTTTTCCCGAATGGAATTTCATTTGTATTACATTTATGCTAGTATTTGAAAGTTACTTCACAGCACCGTATTTACGATACTTCCTCTTGCGTTGGATATGGACAAAAAACATAGGATTCTTCTACGCTCATTGAGTGAAAATATAAATAAACATTGGTTTTACTAATTTCGTAGACATATAATGATACCTCGGTTGAATTAATCAATATCAACACTTTGGAATTCAAAAGTAAACTGGTTTAGTACTAGACCAAATTTGTTGGAAGTTAGCAACCTGATAAAATCAGATAAATATAGGCGGTCACGGCACAATGTTAGATCGTTTTTAACAGAGCAAGCATGCATAAATGTTGTTTCTGTTAAACAATATGATTGAAACCATATTATCTAAGTCTGTAGGTATTTTAGATTGTACGTTTCAGGAATCGTGAAATTTCACGACGTCATTTTAAAGTTGTAGAAATCAATGGTTAAAGATTGTAAATGATGTACCTCTAAAAGTTGATTAAAAACTCAAAATTTTTTAAATAGTTCTAATCTAATATGAGATATAGTTATGAGAACGGGTCATATCTTGACGGAATAAATTTCAGACGGTAGAACCACTACCCAGTTGGTTATGTGTGTGTTTATTAGGTAATCAAAACTGTTAACTGTGTGGAAAATATTCACTCATAATAGTTTAACAAGGAGTTATTTATTGAGTGATAAATGGAAATTCAAGAGTAAAAGTGAAGACTACGAGGTGAATAGTGATTTTTTTCTTTCAATGTCTACTCATTTTTATCAAAAGAAACCTATATATATATATATATATATATATATATATATATATATATATATATATATATATCAGTAGCGTCTAGAAGGTGAAGAGTTACGTGTCACATTTCTGATTCGATGATTGCCTATCCTACTACTGTGTTTAGTAAGGTTCCAGAACTTTCCAAAAGCCAAAGGCAACCTGAAATACAATATATGCCATCGACTTTCTGTACGTATACTGACCTTGGAGTAAGGTGTTTTTTCTACATTTCGTGACTTTTCTCTCATGTTCAAGTTGCAATATAGGTTAGATTATTATATGTTACTAGAGGTTATTAGGAAACCGATTTAAGCGTTCAGTCAGAAGGTTTATCACAAACCGCTGTAGTGATTGAAGGATTTTCACAGTAGTTTTTCATACAATGCTGCTAATGCACTAAATAGTTATGAATAGTGGTTGTTGAGTTGGTCACATTTTGACTAGTTCACTGATGGAACCTTTCAAATAATCAATCAACCAACATTTATGATTCATAGTTTATAACTTATTTAGTTACGGATGCTTTATCTTAAAGAAATGTTTTATGTGGTGTTCAGGTTTCAACGTTGACTAAATTATTCACCACAGAAGAGTCGCAACGTGAGAACACTAGACGATCGAAAATTGAAGCAGATTTACGATTATTTAATCGTTGGCATTCAGGCGAACCGATTTCAGTAAGTGTTTAAAGAAAGTAAATACAAAGTATGTTTTCATTATTATGATAATTATTTCAATTCAGAATACTTTTAATAAACTTGAAATGCACCGTAAATTTCTTACAATGCATTTCATTCTAGCAGTGAGGTTAAGCAGGGTTATCCAACACTAACATTCCTCTGCAACTTCGCCATCGATGACACTGGGAACAGCTCTCATTAAATTAGGTATTGGTAGTGTGGATCTGTTAACAGAAGAAAGACTTCCCGTTCTTGCGGTTGATATTATCTTTAATGTGCGCAATAATACTCAAGCCTATTTCGGCACTCACAACTGGAAGTGAGCCGTTAGAAGTAGTTGGATAGTTCGTGTATCCGGGTAGTTGTATGAATGTTAGTGTTGGAGTAACTGATGAGACCATTCTAAGTATAGCAAAAACAAAACTGACTTATACCGATCTGGGTCATCTTTGGTGCCGTAGGGATGCTTATCTGGTTGTGAAAGGCCTTATCAACAACGCGTCTATGAGATCAATTTTTTTGTATGTATGTATTTCTTCCCCGAATTGAAGAAAGTAGGCAGCTCTCTGTGTTCGACTGTCATTGTCTTTGAGGAATTGCTGGTATCCAACTACAACTCCATATCAGTAATGACGCCAACCGACATGCGTCCGAGCTTAGTGACGACAATTCAATTACGTCATCATTTCGAAACACTGTCTTTGTTGCTTGGACACGTTTCATGTCATCCCAGCGCCCTACATATTGTGTGTTTAATACAGACGCTGGAAAAGCAGAGAATTGACCAATTTATATTATGGCATTGTGATATGAAAGTAAGGACTTTCATCTGTCGGTGCATCTTGACTCTCTGGTTTAGGGTCCAAGTGATGGTGGAAGTGAATGGCTCGAGACGTTATTAGATATGACCCTAAACAGAAATCATTGGCAATCTTGCTGCGATTTACTCTAACATTTTTCATAAACCGAGAACTCCTTAAACGGAAATAATTTAAATTATATCGTATTTGTTATTTACAGAACTATCTCTGCGACTATACACTAAACTTGTTATAGTGCATTTTTTTTATTCTCTTCAAATGTACTTCCTGTTCGTCACAATGTAATCCATACCTTTGTCTGGCGTATTCTATTCAATTTACAAATAATTACAACCTACTTTGTGTGATTACTAGTAGATATTGATTGAAGCTACCTATTCCCATTTACAGACTATGTGATAAAATGTCATATCGTTCAGAGTTAACACTCCAAATATATCATTTAATGTTAATTGGTTGCAAGTAGTCAACAGAAAACATTGAAACTTATGAGTAGGATACAGGTAAATTGATCATGGCTTGCAAAATGTCAACCCGAACATGAAATATTTAGATCAATTTATCGCAATCACCACCAGTTATAACTAATTTGTTTCCAATATATATGCCTGTACAACAGCATTGTTTTTCAGCAAAACTTTAATAATGTATCTTAAAACCATTTACTAGTTAGAGTATAATTATTAGATAGATTGAGGAGTTTGCGACAAGCAATAACTTCAAATTAAATAAATTTTTATATATTTAATAAACTTGCCGGAAAAAATACGGTTCAGTCTGTCTGAGCAGATAAAAACAATCTAAGAAAGACGGTAGATAGAATATCATAGTTGAAAGATTATTTTGTTTGTGACTTCTTAATATGATTGAACATATGAATTGGCATGTATGTATCCAACCATTTAGGCTGTTACCAATAATGTAATATCAGTGATAGTTTGACAATGTGATTTTATTGTATTTAGTGTTAACAAGATATTTTACAGATTTCGCAATATTTTAAAATAAAACTTCCTTTTGTGCTCCTTCATATTCTTTTGTTTTGAATAACTGCTTTAATGTCCAAACAAGAAAAAGCAAGGTACACTGGAAGTGTGTTTTTCTATAATGCATTATAGAGATAGCTCTACCGAGACTTTCCCACTTTGTTCACAGCAGGCAATTACCATCATTATGGGAGTGGGTTTGTGGAGACTAGTGAATTAAATAGTTAACATCGCTTACCAGTCTTAGTGTGACAACTAGGAAACGACGGACAGCTGTCTTGGCTTGAGACTCTAATAGTGCATACTCACGGTTCCATCAGGATTAAATCAAGAACCTTCATCTCTTAGCAAGTGCTTAGCCTTTTACCTACCGAACGAATATCTAATTATCAAGTAATCTTTATGACAATAAATTCGTTTACAGAGTAGTTGCTTAAGTGGTTGTTTTTTATTACGTTCCCCTCTAAAATTATCAAATAATACTCGACTATTTTGCTGTTTTCTTTTTCAGATAATTGATCGTATCAAAGACATTCCATTATTTGTTTATGGATTTATACAATTATTACTTAGTGGTGAAGGCACATTCGCTTTGATGCAAATCCGTTTAACTTTGTTGGGTTTATGCGTTTTGTTTTATTTGATTACACCTTTCGATTTTATTCCGGATGTAGTTGCCGGTTTCATAGGAATTTTAGATGATATCATAGTTTTATGTATATTTATTATTCATGTCATCTCTGTGTATCAGACAATTTCTTCAAGACGAGAACTGAATAGCCGATAAAAATCTATGTAAATCTTTTTCTCCTATGTACACTACATCACGTCTGATTCTGTGTCCTCTACATTTTATGACTGACCATGACTACGAATGTTTGTGCGAGCTAAAGAATAATATGTACATATATTTTATTCACTTTAAACAAATATTCTCCATTGTTTTTTTATCGATCATCGGTTGAGTTCAGGAAATAATTATAAGGTTTAGAGGGTGTGTATTTACTCAGACAATCACTTTGTTCGAACTTGTGAACATTGTCACTTCATTTTAATAATAAGGAAAATCAATTTGGCTTGGTTGACCGAAAGTTAATGTATATGTACCAGAAACAAACTATAGGAACCGTGCCATCCAATCGAACCCAACAGAATTATAACAGGATCTTTTCCAGAAAAAAACTATGTGAACAAACGATTTTACTTGACGTGTTTGAATTCACAGTAGATATTTTAAAAAATACAATTAATATAGTTCGAATTATGAACAGAAATAGATGATGACTAGCAGTGGATTCCAGGACGCGTCTCGTCCTATTTCTGACTCGTCAGCTAGATGTACCTGCATCCCGGACTTCATGTTCTCTGCAGGACTCAAACACGGTACTTTTCACCTCAAACGCCATTGCATTATCCACTTATTCATTTGCTTGTGCAATGGAGATGCAGGTATATCCAGCTTACGAGTCCCAAATAAGACGGAACACGCGACCGGAATTCCAATGCTAGCCACCATCCATCTCTACTTATAATGCTTGTAACGTAAGTCAATATCCAGGCAGTCCGAACTGGATGAACATATGACAATAAGAGACTGATAAATTACAATTCTAAACAATAATGGAGAGATCCAAACAACCAATACAAAAATAAGTTTAGTTTTAGTGTTTCATGTATGGATTTCATGATCAAGAATCTTTTAACTAAAACCAAGAGTGAAGAAAGAATAATTAGATGTTGCGTATTCAGTATATATAAATCAGCTTGTGTAGACTACAGAAAGAGCATAACAAGAATTGCATTGATTGTACAGGTCTTTTTTACTTACCTTAGTTTAGACAATAAATATATTCTAACCTTATGATTGTGAAAAAAAAGGAAATGAACATGGAAACGTAAATATGTAATTTTATTGAAACAAATAAAATATGAAAAATTTGCATGAAATAATCTCTACAGATAATATGGATAATGTTTTTAGTTCCTAGATCTTCCTCGAGTACGTCTCCTAGAGGAACGACGAATACTCCTTTGTGCAGTAATTTGTTGGGTTTGTCTTTGTGTTGCTGACCTTGTTTGGCGAGTATTTAGTCTAGTGCTAGGTCTTTGAGAATTCCTAGCTGTGGATCCATTATTAATAGATTCAGTAGTTAATTCTTCATCGGGATTCAAATGTCTCTGTTGATTGCGTGTTAATGGAGGTATATATGATTGTGTATCGAAAAGAAATTCGTCATCAGATGGCGGATAAAAGTCTGAATCAATATCTTCATAGTATTCATCAAAATATATGCCATCAATAAAGGAATAGTAATGATCAAATGGAAAAATGGAACTTTCATCTGATTCATAATCAGTAATAAAATCTTCATCTTCTGAATCGCTAGAACCAATAAAGCGGGATAATACTGATGACTTGTGGCGTTCAAAAATTCCTTTTACCTAAGGATTAGGAAAAGAGAAACTTCGGGAATCTAAATTCACAAAAGGTTGCTCATATAAATATAGACTACAAAACGTTCAGTAACTTCTAGCACACTATTTATCCAACAGAACGAATATTTTGATAGTTTTCTTATAGTTACTATAGCCTATTTGTGATGCATGGATAAAATTCTGAAGTCGACTATTATTTTGAAATAAATTCAATAGTAATCCAAATTTCAAGTCTGATTGTAGTAGATTTAGTTTAAGCAAACTAAACATTGTTAATTCGCATGTATATGTCGTAATTCTACAGAAATACACTTCACAAATAGTTATTTTTCTACTTATATTTCGAATGATTTACATAGATGTTAAACATTGTTGCAAGCAAGATCCACTAAATGACTGATTAAATGCTTGATAAATAGCATGAAAAAATTCACTGACAAAAGCAAGATTGCACTACCAATATCTTGTGTTATGAAAAACAAATCTGCTGAATAACACTACGATAAAGTGCCAATTAACAACTTGTTTTAAAAAAAACACTTGCAAATATGCGTCATTCCAATGGATATAGAACAATAGGTTGATAAAGTTAGACAGAAAACTGACTGGTATAGAACATTAGAATGGTCATTAATGTTACACTGGTTATTTAGTCAATAGAGAAGGTAATCACAACTTATCTTAAACACGTTAGACAGCGTTTGGTGCTGCATAAATAATAACGTCTTCAATACATAACCTAGTTTTAAAAGTATGACAAACAAAATTACCATACTTTAAATCGGAACAATCCTAGGTGAGTGGTAGCATAGTGATTAGAACTTATGGCTTTCAGCCAGTAAGTCGCATACTCGAATTGCACTCCTTGTATTTTAGCTAGACTAGTGTTGCATCATGAGTCGCCACAACACCGATCTGTATTTAGTTCACTAGATAAGTCGGTCGAGTAAAGTAGAACCTGACACATCGATTAAAACTGTCGGACAGTATTAATGCAGTGAGAAGAATTTATCACAAGGAATGTCAGAGTAGCAAAAAAAGGAGGACAGAAACAATATGATTCAAAAAGGGAAAGTGAATTCGCAGAACAAAAAGTACAAGTACTTTAAGACAAAAAATGAATGCATTCCTAGGTAAAGTGACCTTCTTGTCAAAGACTTTCTTTAAATATGCAATATCTACAACACTTTTCCTTACTAACATCAACTCTAAATTTTTACGTTTAAAAATTACCAATAATGACCACAACAACTAAGTTACCCGATATTTTAAACCAGCTTTAGCTAATTTACGTAGTTCATGAAATGTCTCGTCGTCAGCTTCTACGATTGGCAGAGAAGAATTTAAATATTTGCTTTCTTGTTTTTTCTGAGACTTTTTTTTGGAATGTGTAATTTTATTCCGATTATGTACCCAACAACTTATATCACCCGTTGTACCACACGTAACTATTTGCTGTTCATATGGATGCCAATTTATATCTCGTATTGTATGCCCATCACACGAATAGTGTTTAACCTATAAAACAAATAAACAACAATATAGTATAAAGTGTACTGTCGTATTATAATAATGTGATAGAGTTGAACATTCGTGAAAAATCCTTGTCTAAATTTTGTCTCATTTTTTATTATAGATTTTGAATTGAATTACTCACTTTTTAATGCATATTTCTCTGTTCAGCAAATATACGAGCTGATGTTTTGAAGCATTTATTTGAAAAAAGTTCAGTTTGTTCTCTTTCATACACTAATTAATTATGATAAACTTGTCTTATATCTGTTATGATTGTTCAAGACACCTGTAGAATTCTTCAGATGTTAAGCTCTTCGACGGCCTTAACATTAACCTACACTTAGCGTATTTATTGGACATAATGAAAGGCAATTTTAAAAATGTGCCAGTAGTACGTTTTCCAAAAATTATATACAGTGCATGACTATTACGTACTATTAAAGAAAAGCTGGTAACCTCAAATGTTGTGAAGTTAATATTGCTTGATCACGTGACACACATGCATTCAATTATCCGACCATTCTATTGAAAACCAGACCGGATCAAGAATTTACAATAAGAAAAGTATAAAAGATAAAGATGTACATCAAAACATAACATATGGTACATCACAAATATCTATCTGCACTTATTGGCTGGACACAAATAACTTGAAATGGACCTATTAAACTAATTTAAATGAGCTGAATACGTTCAGTCAAGTACATTATTTTTCACCTACGTTTGTAACTATCGTATATCATTGTTGTGATTTTGTTAAAACAGATCATATTTGTAAACTATAAAAAGAACGAAGGAATCAGTTTCAGTAAATTTTTTTAGAAAATAACTGGGGATGTGTATGTGCGAGAATGTTAATGATTGGTTGTTTGCTTAGTCAGACTATCCTTATTATTATCATTGATTGTTGTCGGTTTTTTTGGTGTGGAAATATATTTACCTTCTAGTCAGGCTAATCACGTGTTATAGTTGTGTTGAAGTGCTGTAGAATAGACACTGAGAGGGAATCTAGCGTAGATATTCGTCTAAAGGCAAATGAACATCCCATTCGTAAAGATGAGGAAACTCCGAGCGTTATAACAGGTATCAAAGATACAAATGTATTAAGACTTCAAGAAACAACCAAGTCACAAAAAGTGTTGTCTACATTGGAAAAAAAATAATTGTAAGGAACTTTGACAAATTATCAGATAAAGAGGGGAGAGAATGACTTACAACTTTTCCAGAATACAAATCCCATATATACCAATTACCATAAGCACTTCCAGAGTAAGCAAATCTTTGTTCAGTATTAAATGCAGGCGAAAAACGTGCTCGAATTAACGTGTTGCGAACTTTATGTCCAGAAAGTGTAAGCACAGAGTTATCACCTCGAATAGGTTTAGAAGAATTTTGTTTAGAAGGTATCGGATCTAGGTATAATATAACATCATAAACATTGGAATGTAGAAGTGTTACAAATATCATATTGGATGGAAAACTTTTTCAAGCAGTAAAATTTGATTTAAAGAAGGTTACAAAATATTGTCGTTAGTTATTTATTAGCTATTTATAAAATAAAATTTTCAAAACAATATTCTGTAAAGTTTATTCTGTACACATACATACTGGTACAATTAGGTATTAAAATGAACGTGTACCACTGATATAACAGATTCATAAGGCAGTGGAGTAACGTAGGGAGATGCAGTCCCATGATTGGTTCATACGCCATTTGATTTTGGGGATCCAGCAGCCCATATACACCGTTGGTTTGGAATCAGGGTTTGCCAACTACCCTAGGTGGATCCTCCATATCCACCGACTCGGTTAAGGAGCCGGACTTTCGCTTTTCGTTCTCTCAATCTGTTAAACAACACCCCCGCCACGATAAGGCAGTGATTAGGAATCTCCTGGTAGTGGCTGTAAACGCGTGGGTTTGTGAGACCTGACTCTCCCCACTCTCGGCCGTACCAGGGGATTTGGAGGTCCTGTTTCGATTAATCCAGACACATATATGTGCTAATGCAGGATTAATCAG